TCAATCGTGTGCATACCCTAAAAAAACCTTAATCTTTAGGTCTTGTTCGGCGGTCTGCATGCTGTTGAACATTTGTTCCATTGCCAGTTCGAAGTAGCGTGTTCACACGGATGTAATTATTAAACAGTAGAAAAGTTTGTACGCTTTGCGTCAAGCAAGAGAGGTATACGACGGCAAATTATGGCTTCGCGAGTCAAATCTGGTTACACAATAAACATCGAAAATAAGCATACCATGATGATCCATGTTGAGCAAATTGCAGACCATGTCTTTAAAGCAGATCGTTAAAGAAAGCAGTCATGCAGTATGCCAAACTCCATCTGCTGAAAGTGTTACAAAATATTTTAAGCCAGAAATATTACTAAATACTACCTGTAACAGCTTTTATATCTATGGTTTGGTTAGTTTGGTTACGTAATTTCATTTCGGTCCGTAAAATTTCTCCAGATTCATGGAGACAGTTTTTGCAGCAGATACTTTTTGCGTCAGGTGGAGACAAAGTGATACCTTTGGAATTAGAACAACTCTAGTCTCGTTGTTAGGTTGTTTGGTGAAATTTTCCATTTATGTACGAAGAGAATAATGTTTGGTTTGGTTGTTTTAGTTGTTCAGTTGTTGTTGTTGTTTGGTTGTTGTTTAGTTGTTTAGTTCACGATTATTCTCTACGTACATAAATGGAAAATTTCACCAAACAAACTATCAACCCTACGATTTCCTTTGATGAAACGAAAATCTCTCCTCAATCCTGATCCTGTTATGAAACACGATCCCTTCAAAATTACCTTATCAATAAACCAAGATTTCGCAAATAGAACATCAAAATAAATTAAAGCAACTCACAGTCACAGTACGTTAATTTAATACAAAAGCACAAAGGTCTTTTTCTGTGTTCTTCGTTCTTCACTAAAATCAAATTAACTCATATCTTTATCTTGTCCCACAAGTGTTCTGTGGGATTCATGACAGGAGAACGTCCTGGCCTATTCATTGTGGTAATCCCTACTCGAAGCAATGGGCGACAACTCGATGTACATGCGGACGAGCATTGTTTTGCATTAACACGAATTTGTCTACAATAAATGGAGCGAATGGTACTATAGCTTCCAGAAGAACTTCCTCTCTAAACCTTAGTACAGATAAACATCCTGATCAGGCGTTCTTTCAGCAATAACACCTCAGTTTTATCTGCCCTTCATTTCTTCCACGGGAGAACCTGCCCCAACTCAACATTTATAAGGCTGTCATTTTCCGTGTATATGAAATTCTCAGTTTACCACACTGTTGTTGAATCGGGTCCTTATTTTATGTATAACTATGATATGTACGTTATTGATTTCTGTTCTTATATCGAAATTCTACGAGTGGAATGCTGAAGATGGACTTTATATCGCCCAACGTCCATCTCTAAATCAATTCAACTACCACTGAATGACTGGTTTCTTTGTTTCAACCTAAGTATTCATCATTAGACACGAATTTTCTAACTCACCGTGGATCAACATTATGAATATATTTTCATCCATTAAATATGGATCATCCGTCTGATACATATTTAACAACTGGAACAAAATCAATGTTTGTATTAGGATGGTACATGCTTTTAGGATGAAACATTAACGTACGATCGGTATAATGAAGTAGAATTTCGTTTGCTGCAACGTTAATGTTATTTAAAATAGCCATGACCTTGCCAATTTAAATGATAATAAACATTGGACAATTCCCCCCCACCAAAAAAATCACCTTGTTAAGTTATTGATTTTTTTATTACTATATAAGGCCAAATACAATTAATTAATATTGCTAAATTCGATGAGATAAAAGTCATTGGTTCTACAAACCCCGATCAATAAATAATTTAATACGTGGAAAGAGCATTCATCTACTAGCGAATACTATTACAGACAAACCATCACTGTACGAAAACAAGGTTAAAAAAACAAGTGATCGAAATTAGGTTTAAAAGGGAGAAACTGATAAAAAGAAAAATAGCAAACTTTTTGTAATATATACAAGTCTGTTATTAATAACACTAAGTAAACTGTATTTAAAAATAATTGTGAATTTACCCTGCGAAAAACTGGTCATCTGCCGCCGTAAATTAGTGCATACATATTTTTGCAAATTGGGATGAACGATAGGCTGTTGTATAATAATTTATAATAAATCAAAATAAAACGATAAAACACAGTACAGTAAATACTTGAGGACAGCTGAGTAGCAAACTGATAAAATAATTAAATTATAAAATGTTTAAATAAGAAATTACATTAAATGAACAATAAACGTCTTAGTATATTATAATAGTTAACAATAAGATAATTATTTTTATGGTATTATTAGGAAAGTATTATTCGGAGATCGTGACATGAGGTCTGGTGTGAGAGGTTTTAGAAAAACATTTTCTTTATCGTGCCAACGTTTCGATATTTATTGAGATCATCTTCATGGCCTGGGATTAAAATCATTGTTTAAATTTAACAAATACATACAGGATGTGGAATAAAGTGAATTTATACAATGCAAAAAAAATTTTATTTTATTTTTTATATTTTTTTACGAGGGTTCGCAACAGCAGAGGTCATATAAACCCTCAGGGTGACGGTGTTTTTGAAAAAAAGCCCATTTGTAAGTATGTCGGGTTCGAATGCAGGGCCGCTGGATTCGAACCCGGGGCCTTTACCTTACAGTGATGAGCGCCGTGTCAAAGACTAAACCTTGCGGCCACCGACGCCCCCATGCAAAAAAATATTTTTTCAAAGTGTTTGTTATCTATGTAGATATGTCATTCTTATGTGTCGTGTTAAGAGTCAAACACAAGAATGACCCATCTACACGGAAACATACACTTTCAGTCCTGAAGATGATGTCAATAAAGATTGAAACATGGCACGATAAAGAAAATGATTTTCTACAATCTACGTCACACCAGACCGCATCAAACGATCTCCGAGTAATCATTGACTAACGGTCAGTAAACACCACACATTAGGTATTAGTTAACTTCTAATATAAAAATAAATAATTGAAATCTTTAACTAAATTATACTTGTAACCCCATGAAATTCTTTCTAAAAAACAAAAATCATTGAATTGAAATTAAGAATGAACAGGTTTAACATGAAATGGAGGTAAACGTTAATATTATCAAACAACCCAACAAAACGACTGGTGCAGGCAATAACAGATCGAGACATAAATCAAAAACAGGAGAAGATTTAATCGACCAACACGACAGATAACACGAACACACATTCCGTTTTGCAGAAATATGAAAGGCCAGAAAAAAAGAATTTAGATATGGAATTGGATTATTCGTTTGAATTTAATAAATTTAATATCTTGTAACTGTAAAACCCATTTCATTTCAACGAGGTCTTTTATTAGTCAATGTAGTGCGGTAAAGTTAAAAAAATATATTTTGCCCGGTTGAATAGAATTGTTTTTATTTTTCATACTTTCTTTTTAATGATCCAGGGCGAGGGAGAGATATAAAACGCATTCGCTTACTTTAAAGGGCTGTTTTGAAGGGAGGCAACAACAAAAAAATAAGGAGGAAGAGGTTTGAAGTCGGACTTGGAAACAGATGTCGGGTAACTCTGAAGAAAATTACCAAGTGCGGCGGCAAAGAGCTTTTCTTTTTCTCTTGTTTCTCCGCTTGGACTGACTCCAATTTAATCTTGAGGCTGTGAGCACCATCCATCTCGAAGGCCATCTCACCTAGACGGCCTACCCAACACTTTACTTACCTTGATGTACGGAAAATTCTAGCAAGAAGAGCCAAAGAACCATTCGATCGGGAAGTACAGACTGTTGTGATGTGAAGCAGGTATTTCGTTTCTTATGGAATCTATTATAAGACCTAAATTGCCAACCAATCCACCACCCAGGTCCGTTCGAATTAATTTTTTCTGTTCCTCGGTATTAAATTATATAATAATCCATATATGAATTTAGTAGTCATAATTGACCGTATTAATTCGGAATAATTTTATAATTAATTATACTTTTTATCTACGGTCTTGGTTGACATGAAAACCTAGTGTCACAAGCGGGATTGGAACCAACGACCTTCGGCTCATTTCGTTTCGAATCACGTTAGTTCAAGTGGTTGGTCGTGCAGCAGCGTATTGAGCCAAAAGGTAGTGGGTTCGAATTCCGCTCGTGGCTAAAATTTTTCATCTCAACCAAAGCCTTAAATAAAAAATATAAATAATTATAATATTATGTAATATTATTGTATAATTTAAAAAAATATTTCTTAAAATTTTGATTGTAATTTTTTTTTTTTTTGTAAAATGAAAACCTTTTTATGATAAAGCATCGGAAGAAAACAATTTTTGTGATATATAACTAACTGTCAGCTTTTAAAAAAATATTAAAAACCATTAGTTTTTTTCAAACATATTATATTAATATAACGTTTGTCGATCACAAATGTGTAATCCAAAAATGTTTTTTTAGATTAATATTGATACGTAAACCAATATTCAAGAAAATAAAATTTACGTTTTAACAATTTACTTTTTGCCAACAATTACGTTTGCAAGGCACTAACGCAGATGAACCGAAATTGATACTGCTCCCTTAATTTAATAGATAGATAAAAAATTGTGCAACTCTGTACGTTTTAAATCGTAACCCAACAATTTTTTTCGGGGTCACTGCTCAATGTAGTCTCCCTTCTTTCACTGCGACCTTTAAGATTTTTTGTGGAAATTTATCCAAAAGTGCAATATCTTTAAAGTATTTCAGCAGTCCGACGTTCCTCTTCGCCAGGGTTTGATATTGCATTTTTGAACTTTTCCAGGCTAACGCTTCCAGTCATATTGCAAATGTTCCCATGTCTTTGTTTCACGACAGGACCGGCAATTTTTGACTGATTAATAATTTTTTATATGGTAATTAAATGAGCAATGACCAGTAAAATTTTAATGTTTATTATTTTCTTTAATTCTTGCCTCTGCAAAACAATTTATTTTCCCAGTTTGGATGTTGAAAAAATTCTTTGATTGTTTTGCTTTTGGCTAATTCCTCCGTGTGTGGCCTTGTCAAATTGCGGTTCTTTTACGAAGGGTGTGAGGTCTGTTCCTGCTTTTCCTACTTTATCAGTCTATTCGTCGCCTTTCATCCCCTCGTGTCGCACCGACATCAGAAAGACTTGTTTTCGTTTCCCCGGGAGTTCGAGATATGCTGGACATTCCCATGCCAGCTTTGTTTTGAAGGTCAAAAGCCTTCAGTGCTTTTGGCTCTACGAATATGTATACTTTATACTCTGTCTACAATATGTAAAAAGGAGTTAAAAGGTGTGTAGAGTTCTATTATATGAATGTCAGATAATTACACGTAATTCAGTTAAACACATGTTAAACTATCAAAAATTCAACGCTAAGAGTTGCCCTAATGTTCTGACCATTAAATATTTTATACTTATATAAATACTAATGCTTACGTCAGATATCGTGATATGAAGTCTTGTGTGAAATCTTACCATCTCCAAATAATCATTAATTAACGGCCAATAAATACTACACACTAATACTAATGCTTGTATTTTCAGTTTAAATTTGTTTAGCTATTACAAAAGTAATTTGTAACCTCGTTTAAGGAGAAGTTTTATGTATATTCACTTTTATTAAAAAAAAGCACTTATTATGACTTAATTTAAGAAATTTTGATTACTTTTTTGGGTTACTCTGAGCATTAATCTTTTTTATTTTTGTTTTTAGTTTTATTTGGTATTTTTCATTTACGTGCCAACTATTTTGATAATTAATTTATAAAACATGCTGGTGGGATTTTATAATTTTGTGACAATCGTGCGAACGAATTTTATTTTCAGAATCCGAAATAACTTTTTTAGCTGTACATTTCAGAATAACAGCGTCTGATAGACGGGTGAAAATTTCTTTACCAGAGTTATCCCAGATTTTCAGTCTAATAGACCAAACAGGTTAAATTTAGAACTGTCTTAATGCTAACCACAATTCCAGAATTTCCCATCTTTTTTCCTTCTTTAGTAACATCAAAATAAATCTGTGTAAGTTTAATTTAATGTTCTAAAAAGTAAATGTGTACGATTATATAGTTAAGTTCTGTCAGTAAGTTCTGTCCTTAATGTAAAGAATTTTTTTTCGCCTTTAAAGTGTTTTATTTTAGATGGTGTTAAATCCTGATTCACCAGTATGGTGGGTGGTTAGTTGTGAAAAGAAACGCGAAGTGCTCCTTGTCATAAATATTTCTTTATTATATACATTCCGGGTTCATTGGCTCTTACCAAATCCAAGTCTCTCCGTACAACCAGCATCCATTACAACGAAGATGCCTATATAGAAGTAAAAAATATTAAAAACGCTATGAAAATACAGCAATATGAAACTTTTACCTTTAACCTGTTCTTTTCTCGCTTGCAACATTCGATAAATCGTTGTACTATTGATTACTTGTAGACATTTTCTCTTTTTGTCATTTTGAAAGTTGGCGGTAGCCATTCGTTGTTTGAAAATTGCTGCATGCTTTCTCAACAAAAAAAACATCCATTTGATCTAATTATTTAAGTTGTTAGCATAAATGTATCCAATTAAAATATTGAACGAATTACTTTTGTATAGGTTTTGAAGATTATTTTGCGTTTTCTTTAAAACCCAGACAAAATGTTTCAAATTTTATTTATTCATTTATGTAAAGAAAGATATTTTAAATAAATTTATAATTAAAGTTTTTATTTTATTTTTTAATCAAGATTTTATATTTTGATTACAAAACTCTTAATACTTCGATACTAAAAAATAAACTTGTACGAGTTTACATATAGTTCTGCCCTTAATGTTGTCCTTAATTTGTATTGGGTAAAAATAAGAACTGGTAAAACATTTGAAATAAGTCCATTATATTTAGTGGTCTTTTGACCAAATTAATTCTTTCAACTAATTAATCTTTTTGTGTAAGGTTTTAGTCCAAATGAAAAATGGTAGTATCATGAGCGGGATTCGAACCCACGACCATGATGGGCTAATACGACGCTGCTCTAACCACTTGATATATCGTGACTTCGATCCACTCGGACACCAACTCGCCATCTCAACTTACATTTACTACAATCTTTTCGAATTTTCCCATTTTTTGAATATTTGAAATATGTTTTGTCTAGTCTATTTAAACGTACATAAATAAAAAATTTATTTTAATATGTAGTGCATAATTAGTTTGGGTGATCTATCATTTATTACTACTGCAGATAGATTATTTTTTCCAAATAAAAGAAATTTAAAGTAATAAATACTGTTTTTAAGTTGATTTATATTATTACTCGGAAAAGCTTTCAATAAAATCACAAAAATGTTCAATTAAGTGAATCATTAATAATTCGGCTTGCGAAAGTACATCCTAGTTAATAATTCACGTGCCTGCATGCATCTTTTTGCCGAATCGGAATTCAAATTAACAGCTTACTGGTACGTTGAATTTACAAAATTTGTACGTACCGTCATGTTTTTACTATTAATAATTAAGGAGAACGCTGTCATGGGGCGTCGTTCGTCCGTTGACAAATGATTGCTACTGTCATCAACAATGATGAAGCACGAGTTGCCACTTGAAGCAATGTTAGCATCATCAATTACAAGCTTTTGACCAATCGCAAGCCTTTTCCAAAACGGTTATATCAATGATCAATTATTTTTTTAAATTTGAAATAATTATTACTATTATTATAAATGTATAGTAAATGTATTATTATTGTATATTAAATATATTATTATTAAAAATATACACCGATACACATGAGTTTATTCCACATGTGTCTAGTTTACAAAAAAAAGTTAAATAAATACTCCAATTGTACGGGTTATTCAAAACGTATCATATTTTACTATACGAATATGGACAGAGTAATAACTACAGTTAGATGATTAATAATTACCGAAAATGAGATGATCTTTATTTATGAATGGATTATCTCAGTTTTCTCGTGGCATGTCACGATATCACCTGAAACGTTAACGCGTCAATTATGCCAAAATTGGCTCAGCATATGTGTTATTCAAACGGATAAATCGATCTTTCTCCTCTTTTCACGTCATCAACACCGTCGATATGGCAGATGTTTCGTAATCCATCGTTCAAATTTGTAAAAATATTTGTTTCAAATAAAAAAAATAGATAGACAGATAGATATTTAGTTAGATAAATAGATAGATAGATAGAGAGAGAGAGTGAGAGCGTGATTGAGAGAGGAAGCGAGGCACAAAAGATAAGACAGAGCTATTGAAAAAAATGTAAACAATAGGAAAGAGTGAGAAGGAAAAATTAGAGGAGTGAGGCACGAAAGTTCATTCAAAGAAACTGAAAGAAAAGGAAGGAGTTAGAGGGAGTGAGAGATAGAAATAAGCAAAAGAGAAAGAAGCGAATATAGATGAGAAATAGTGGTGTGAAGGAATAGAGATAGATAGCAAAAATTTGAAACAAAATAAAGAAAGAAGTTACAGATTATATTAGGAAGTTATAATTATATATAATATAAGCCCCTCCTGAATTTCTCTTGAGCCAATGACGCTATCAAAACAACAAAAAGAAGTGTTTAATATTTCTTTGTATAGTTTCAAATTTTTACGTTTTTTGGAAAAAAATTATATTGGCTGCCTCAGCCCCAGTTCAACTTCAAAATTTCAAATTCGACCCTATACATCCTGACACATCATTTTAAAGTAATTATTACGCTTAAAACAATGGTTGAGGCAGATTTTAAATTGGTCAGTAAATTAAAAATTGGTGGAAAAAAGGTTGAAAAAAACTTTCGTTTGTTTCGTGGTTAATTCCAATAAAATATTTCTTCGCTAAAGTAAATATTAATTACCTTCATTGTTTACATTCTGCTATTGTTTGTCAAATTCTCATTATAAGAGCAAATGTTAATCCCTGGAAGTAAATAAAGTTTACAATAAAACTTATTCCTTATATGCAGTACACCATTCAAAATGAACTGAAGAGGATATTTTTCCGATTAACAGCGAGTTGATATTTACGATTGCTTTATTGATAATGGAGGTTATTGCGCGCTACAGTCGAGTTGTTCTCCCAGAAATTTCCTGATTGCCCTAGAGTAAACCACAAAACATTTATTCATTTCGCTCGCAATGTGAGGAAACACGGATCAGTTGCAGTTCCATAACTAAGAAAATAGGAGCGTAATTTCGACGAGGAGCTGAATATTTTACTGTATGTACAAATCCAAAATGTTGGAAGGGTTTTAGGTTTTTCAAAAAATAAAATTAGAAATGTACTTTGGACTTACAATTTTAAACCGTATCGCTCTCATCTTAGGGACTTCGGGACTTTGATTATGGTAAACTCTCAAGTTCCTTGTACAAATGTCGATTTGGGAGGATAAAGAAAACGTTTTTCCTTAAATTTTATGGCCTGATGAATCCAAGTTAACCTCTAATGGCAACTAAACCTTTGGAATTTTCGAACTTGGTCAGTGGAAAATCCAAGAAATTCGTACTCTTGTCATTATCAGGTGGTTCACAGTATCAACGTTTCGTGTGGACTTTTTGGAAATAAATTAATTGCGCCTTATGCCTACAAAAATTATTTAAATGGTGCTCACATCCTCAATTTTTTGAGGGAGGTTTCACCAATTAGGTGATGTTCCTATGCAACAACAACAAAGAATAATTCTCCAGCTTGATGGATGCCCTACATGCAAATCTTTGGAGGTGAGACGTTATTTGAATTGTCACTTCATAGGTGGAGGATCTCATGGCTGGATCTGTTGGCCTCCTCGATCACCCGGTTTAACTCTAATTGACTATTTTCTTTGGGACCATTTAAGAAACAAATCATAACTAGCAACCTCAGTTGAAGAACTGCGGCAAAGGATAGATAATGCTTGTCAATCCATTCGAACATGAAATGTGATTATTAAATAGCGAACCATCCGATTGTACCATTGTTTTCATCGTAAAAATCCTTTAAAGTGATGTGTCAAGAGGTATAGGGTTGTATTTAAAATTTGGATGTTGAAAAGGGGTCTGAGGTCCCCTACATAATTTTCTACAAAAAAATATGCAAAAACTTGAAACTAAACTAAAAAATATTAAATATGTATTTTTTTTATATCGTCATTGGTTTATGAGAAATTCAGCCGAGCCATCTGAAGCACACCCTGTGTACATATTATCTCTAGAAGTTAGAAAAGCACAATCATACAAAATTTATTATTATTATTTGTCAGATTCTGCAATATTAGTAAGAAAACGATTAGATCCAAGATTTATGGAATTTGCTTGTTACAACTAAATCGAGTTTCCCCCAAAAACTAAAGCAAAATAAATATAAAAGTTCCAAAAATAGTCAGATATTCTAATAGAGAGAGAGGGGGAGAGAGAAAGTGAGAGGCGAGAAATAATGGAAAGAAAGAATCATCAAGGCAGAGTGTAAAAAGCTAGCGTTACTGACTATCCACGAAAATAATGTGAGTGAGTAACATCGTGAATCTCGGAACAGAAATTTTTCATTTAATTGCTGCAATTAACTTTTTTTGCATGGTACTCCACGAGCCCACCGGCACCCATTCATGTGCATTTAATTCAACCACATTCTTTACGATGATAGTTGAAATTTACACATTCAGCTGATCAGAACATGTTTACATAACTATAAATAACTATAGGGAATGGTAATAGTTTTTCTAATTTTCTTAAACAATTTGCGTTGTTATTAATTCAGAATTGGACTCATTTTTTAACGGAGGAAGGTATAAAACTTGATAAGTCAGAGCGGCAATGGTACTAAATGGGCAAAGGAGGAATGGTATTTATCGTGAATCGTTTACAGGGTAGTCCGGGTACTTGAGTTACGAGTTTCATTAGCTAACCACTTCATTCTTGTCCGGTAATCCATCACGGCCGATGTGGCTTTTTCTCTTTTGCCACGTTCAGTTCAGAGACAACGGCTATTATCTTCCAAACCCCAACCCAGTGACTACTTATATAGTGATTAATAGCTCCGCCCAAATTCCCTGGGTTAATAAAAATGATAACAGTTCTTGGTGGTTAAGTAATTTTGGAGAATTATGAATAACATTAGGTATTAAAAGGTTGAGGCGTATTTATTCAAAATTGATCTACATTGAAACTACACCATAAGCAAGTGATGGTTATAAGCTGACATGAGCTATTCAAAGAATATAAAATCGCAAGCGATCGCAATCAAGTTTTCTCTCAAAATTGCGTTTGGGTTATGTACACGCAAATATATATATTTTTTTCAATTATATTAAGATATTTACATCTTTTCATACGTAATAAAATTAGTAATTTATTATTCATCGTAAACTTAAATTTCAGAATAAACAATTGATACGGTTTTCTGGTACGTTTGTATCTATTTCTCCTACCTAACTGTACCTACAACTAAGAATACAACATAAATGTGTAATATTTAGTGTCCGTTAATTAATGATTATTTAGAGATTGTGAGGTGCGATCTGGTGTGACCACCGTACACGTATGAACCCCAGACGGTACAACATAAAATGAAAATAGCTATTTATTTAGAAATCGTGAGATGTGGTCTGGTGTGATGTAGGTTTCAAAAAAAAACATTTTCTTTAGCGTGCCAACGTTTCGATCTTTATTGAGATCATCTTCAGGGCCTGGGAAATTCACTTTTCCACATCCAAAATGTAATTGTAATATGTAAACAATGTTTGTAAATCCCAGGCCCATCAATAAAGATCGAAACGTTGGCACGATAAAGAGAAAAGGTTGTAGTAAAATCAGAGCAATTTTTTTTTTTTTTTTTTGACAGGGGCTTCCGACATCTAGGTCATTTCAGCCCCCAACTAAGTTTATATTCTATTTACCCTTTCAAACACTATATTCATAAGCGCAATGTTTTTCATGACAATGTAGTAAATATATGTATGTACAGTATTGGTTGAAATGAAAAAGCTAGTGTCACGACTGGGATTCGAACCCACGACCTTCGGCGAACTACGCCGCTGCTCTAACCACTTGAGCTATCGTGACTTCGATCCACTTGGACACCAACTTCTCATCTCAACCTACCTTTTGAATTTTCCCTCCTTTTTGACATTTTTCAAGTGAATTTCGAGAGGATCGAAGTCACGATAATTCAAGTGGTAGAGCAGCGGGGTATTTAGCCGAAGGTCGTGGGTTCGAATCCCGCTCGTGACACTATCTTTTTCATTTCAACGACCACCTTACATAAAGATTAATTAATTGAAAGAAGTTACTTAGTGAATCGGTTTACGAAATATAATGGACTTTGTAAATATAATTGATTAATTATTGCTATGAAGAAAATAAACAAATTATGTTTTCGTAATAAATACGTGTCAATAAAAAAAAGCTTATATAATAGATAAATGAGAATCAAATCATATTCACAAAATCTTGCAGTTTTTTTTATTATGTGTAAATATGAAAAGAAATAAAACTTGTTTGTTACGCTCAGGGAGATATCCTCCCCCAAGACCAACTGCCTATTTTTGACAATATTTGCCGTAAAACGTTTTTCATCGAAAACTATGTTCGACAATATGAAGAAAATCATATTTAAATTTAAAAATAAATTAATCGAAGTAATATTTTTTATGAATTATAATTTAAAAAACGCACTTTTTAGAAGAAAAAGAAAAGAAATTTTAACAATAATCTATTTTAGTTAAGATAGATGTAACTTTTGATGGCCGGCTAAGGGTTGAATGAAGGATTGTAGCATATTTGTTGATACAAATCTATGCAATAAATTTTGTAATATCGTTAAAAATTATTGACACTAAAATTCATTATATTTATGGTTCTATTGATCTATAGGATGATATATTGTACGCAAATATAACTTATAAAGTGGAATAGAATTTATAGATTTATATAAGCTCAGCATATACATACGTCAACCTCTGTAATTGGAGCCTTACTGGCTTTTGGACAATACGCATGTAGTTTTAACCAAAACTTTAAATACCATTCACTTGAGTAGCGTGATGG